GTATCTGCTCCTTTGCGCAAGGAGGAGCAGGAGGAGCACTGCCAGAGCCCTACAAAGTGTTCCTTTACATTTTTTTGAGCATTGGATATGGTTATCATAGACTGTCCCATTGTAATATAAAGAGATGCAGCTCTTTTTGTAGCAATCAAGATCCTACTGGAAAAACTCCAAAAAAGTTAAAAACAATCCACTGGACTTAGTTTTCAAGTTTGAAGACCATTCACCAACCAAGAGGCTTTCTTCATTCAACATGTCAGGAATAGCGTTGAGTTTGAGGTTTTATACACGGGTCCACCCCTTTGGAATGGGGGTTGTTTGGCTTCTTTTGTTAGCCTGCAAAGCCCCAAACCTGTCTATGTCTCTGAAAGGGAGTTGTTAAGGGGAATTGTTGGCCTAGCTGAATAGAAGCCAAAAAGAAGCCAAAAGAACCCCATTCCCAAGGGGTGGACCCGTTTGTCCGTTTCAATTCATGTTTTCTAAGCCAAAACAAGGCCTTGTTGGGCTACTGTCAATGCCATTTCTGACATTTTTAATTGAAAAAGCTTCCTGGATGGGAAGCGAAACGTCTTCAAACTTGGAAACTAAGTCCAGTGGATTGTTTTTTAAATTTTTTGGAATAACTATGATCTGGATGACTGAAAATCTTCCCCAGGATAATGGTATTATTCTTGCGGGGAGTTATTTTTTTCTTCATTGTAAAATGTGTAGAACTGATTTAAATTGTTTGGTTTCCTGCCAAATAAAAACATTCCTTAAGTTCAATACTAACCTACAGTATATGTGTTTGGAATCACTTTCTTGTTGCAACACTCAGCTGTTCTACTTAAGACATAATTCTATTCTGTGTGACAAAACAATCAATGTCACCCATAAACCTTTCTCTAGAGGACATTTGGGATGTGCTAATTGGATGATGTCAAATTTCAATCAAAGGGTTGATTTTGAAGCAGGTGATCCTCTATTTTTTAATGGATTCACGATTAGTTTTAACAATAAACTTTGTTTGAACATTTGGTATGGTGTTTAGTTTTAATAGATTTAAATAAAATATTTGGCTTGGTTAAAAATACATGCTAGGTCCTGTAGGGAAGCTATGCCAGCAAAAAGCAGCAACAAATGGTGTTACATCAAATGAGAATATAGAAATCAAGAGGTAATAAGTAGGGACACTGCACAAGTTATTAAACTAGTACTGCTCCCACTTTAACTCTTGACTGACCCAAAACCTGTGGGCCAATCAGATTGCATTATTATGGATAAGGCGGGACATATAGCTGACAAAAGTAAGAGCTACCAACCTTACAGCTACGCCAAAAAAAAACATGGGAGGACACATAGCTGCTCCTGTTACATTGGTTTAGTCAGAATCCACTATTTCATCTTGGAAAAATGTAATGAGAATGTAAAAGCGTAAGTTTTTAGAGTTTCTCGTGGTGTCTGCTGACATTTTCCTTTGTAACTGTAATTGGCTAAAACAAAAATCTGCAAGGCACGCCAAATGGTTCTGCAGAATGTCTGTCCTGTCCCTGAATATATCTGATCGGAAATGATCAGATTGATCATGAGTAGAACTAAACCTGAGTGCTTAACATTATCACTCTGGCTCCCCAGGTCAGTGGTGCCTAGGTTCCTTCAACAATTTCTCTTAAAAGATGAGAGCGTTTTAGACGGATGAGTTAAAGGAATTTAAATTGGTTTTGATTAAGCTCAAATGTCTCTGTGCTCAAAGTCATTGAACATTTATGGCACAAAGAAAGAAATGTGAGCCTTTACTGATTAGAAACCGATTTATATAAGTTCTATTTCTTTATCAAGAGTAGTCAAATATCCAATTAAAGGGGATATACATCAGTCATACCATAGATTCAGATTTAGACTTTGTAGTCAAATGGAAACCAGAATAGCCCCAGTTGCTGAAAATAGTGGGACAACCAGCTCAGTTGTCCAAGGTGTCAATTTATAAGTGTTTTTTTCAATTTCCTGTTCTTTTGTTTTGTTTGTTTTTAATTAAACAATTAAATGCATAAGCTTGATATTTAGGTTAAATAAAATCCTCTATTATCATTATTTCCTTCCAATCTGCCCTTGCAGTATTGGGGAAAAACTATAGCCCCACCCGTTCTAAAGTGCAGCAGGCTCTCAGTGCTACAGGTACAGACAAGAAAATATGGAGCCAGAATTTCCTTCTATGCCCTGAAATATATACAGACGCTCACCTGACTTACTTTTATCTGCAAATAGCCTTCTCTCTGTGTAGAGTGTCAGCAGTGTTTATTGGTATTCTCATGCTGCCCTGTTTAAGGGATCTGCTGTTTATATTTTGATAGATGAAGGTATAATTAGCACCAGTCCAACATGTGTGGTTAAAAGCCTCGCACATTTAGAATTGATATAATTTTGTCAAGACTGACCTGAGGCAGATCAACCACAGAATCTACGAAAAATAAAAATAAGATCCTGCTACAGAACCTGAACCACTAGAGAAAGGTTTAGGTGTGGAAAGCCAATTACGTTGCTAATTTTTTACACATACATTATTAAAGGGCAATTTTCTATTTTAAATGGGAAAATGTCAATGTGATTTGAAAATTTATAAAAACCATCTCTATCCTAAATGGATATTTTTGTCATTTTAATTATTGTTACTATTAAATACAATTTTTTACTTAATGGCTATATGCTGAAGACATTTATCTCACCCTTTACAAATGGAAACCATTGTTGCTACAAGAAATTCAATTACAGTGTCTCTGATTTGTAAAGTGATCTGCAGCTGACTTTAATTATGAGCTGTAGCACAGGAAGCCAAAAAGGCACAACTTTAACAAATATTTGGTTAAAAATTTTATTCATTGCCAAATATATGAATGCAATAGCCAAGCTTTTCAGCTTGTATGAGCATAATACTAGTACGTATGTTACAGCTAATGTTGACATTGAGACTAAAGCTTAATATATTTTTTGCAGATCAGCGGAATATTTACCAATACTTAAATGCTAATCTTATGCAGCTTTATTTTATTGGCCTCTTGTTTTATCCTGCAGAAGAGTTGGACTTTACAGGTAGATTGTAGCACAAGTGTCAACAGGATAATCTTCAGTCTCTGCATCTAGTAAAAGTCAGACTTAATGATCCTGCTGTTGTTGCTATTCTGTATCTCTGCATGACTTTCGCTGGTGCTGTGTGTTTGTGAGGATAGAGTTGAATTTTTGTTACTGTACCTCGGTGGCAGGAAGCTCATTGCAGCTCTCTCTCTGGGCTCTCTTTGGATCGCAGTGAATTAACATCCACTGGAGCTCAAACTGCAAAAGAGATAGTAATGTTAGAAAATATTCATAACTTATAGGCTCATTTTGTAATGAGATCCTTAGTAATGATACAGTTATTGCTTTTCAGTTTAGAGTCGATGCTCTCTGTGGGAGTTTCTGAGCTTGAATTTCTGCTCTTGCATTTTTCTGCAGGGATTACATTTTTTTTCCGCTTACCCTAAGAACCCAGCTGAGCATTTCTGCTTTACAGCAGCACTTTTATAATTACAGCAAGCACACAAAGAAGAATGCATTTGCACACAGATAGTACAATATCAGGGGGACTACCAAAAAGGAGAGCAGGTGTCCTTTTGGACTTACCACCACAGAGGCATCGGGATCGGCATCCAGCCTGCCGATGAGGGTGTCTCCTTGTGTGTTGATTGGCCCTTTCCCCTTAATCGGCTTCTGATCTACAGGCTGGCAGTCCACGTACAAAGTGACCTGGTCACGCTCGACGCCGATCATCACCTTGTGCCACTTGGTGTTGAAGAGCACAGATAGTCCAGGGAAGGTGACGGTCTGGAGGTTTCCATCTGCACCCATTAGGAAATACTCCAGAGCCTGCTGGTCGCCATTCAGCCTGAGTCCAGCCTGCTTGTAGCCCTCTTCATCCACTATTTGCCACACGTTCCAAACCTTGCCCACCGTGTTTTTGATCATACGAAAGGTTGTCATGAAGGAGTACTCATCTGGGAAGCCCCGAGGAAAGTTAAGCCTGTGGGGGGTTGGGAGTGAAGAGCAGAATTTAATTGAATACTAGTTAACGCCAATTGGTTCTGTTATAACTCAAAAAACATCTGTTATGTCAGAATGAATTCATGATTGCAAAATAAGCACATTTAAGCGTAACTTTCAAGGAGAATACTTTGATGCTAATAACTTAGAGCCTTGTAATCTGTCTTTGGAATTTCAAAGTAAAGCCAAAAGAGGAGCTGTCTCTGTGCATAAATCAGACCATGCAGGCCAGGGTAATAGTTGGGGACTGTCTGTGGGGTTTTTGTTGTTCTTTTTTTTTTTTTTTTACAACTCCCCAGGAGGTGGTGGATTCATTGATGGCCACTGCCCCAAAAACTTTTACCATGTTGTAAATGATCAAGGTGAGGCAATAACCAAAGGGGTTTCCTGGAGCCTAATAAAATAAAAGAAGACTCCTCCTCCAAATGTTGCCTTTAGGACAGAAAGTCTAAAGCATGTGGCACTCTTTTTGCCCCTTAGTTGATGAGAGAAGCAGAACAGCTGAAGCTGAAGGGGGAGTTCAAAGCATTGCCTGTACCTCCAGACTAGCGGGGGAATAACAATGAGGTATTTGCATTCAGGCCACCAGGCCTGAGTGGCATTGATGAGGGGGTGCCAGTGACTTACATAACAGCCTCTAAATAAAGCTGGCATACAGAAAATACCATTAGCACAAAGCGAGTGGAACAGGAAAACTGGAAAAATTTACATTTACTTCAACCAAACTGATTTTTTAACACAGACCTGGTTTACTGTATATGCATTAGCAACGTCTTTAAACCGTCCTCTGTCTAGAATCCAGTTCCAGGAGAAGCGGTCAGAGATTAAATAGACCACGAGGTAAACACTTACATTTTGTCATGTTACAATCACAGACTTCAAGCTATATTTTGGTTTAATACCTGACTGTGTTTTCTGTGCTGTACTGATTTAAATGAGAACAAAATTGATTAATGGTTTTCTTATTTTTGAAAGAAAATGTGGCCTGGATTTGTTTTCCTTGGCTCTCTACTAGCTTTACACATCTTGAGTCTTACCAATTTTATTTTTTCACTTTTTGTTTATTCCGTAGAATAGCAGAGGATCAGTCAAATTGGATGGGGATGAGAATCTATAGTAGACTGGTCTCCACCTTTAGTGTCACCTGAAAGGATTAGCAATCAAATGCAAATGGGATTGTTTTATATAGCTTTCTTTAAGCTTTATGGCTTAATGATTATAATAATCTTATAAGGCTTTTATATTATAAAGGCCTTTTTGTTGCAATTCTTATTGTATGTTCAAGTTTGTGGAAGTAAAAATTCAAAGTCCTCTTTTTCCTTTATAAAGCCATAAAAAACCCAAATAATTAGAGACCTGATAAAAGGCACATTTTTAGTTATAAGGCTCCTTTGCCATCGAACAAACTACCATGTTAAGTCGGTGAGTCAGACTTCCTGTCTTCTTATAAGCCAAGGCTTAAAACTTTCCTTTTTGATAAAGCTTATTGTTAAAGTGGCTCAGGTTATCCTGATTTACAGTATCTCTTTAGTTATGCAGCTATAGACTTAGAGTGCTGGGGGACATAGGGGCCACTTTTCATCACTCTGCATCTCTGTTCTCAGTTTTTTTAGTTCAAACTATAACTTTATGCTCTCTTTGTTTTTTCACATCATAGTAGCTTCATCTGGTCTGTTCCGGTTTGGCTTTGTTACCACCCTGGAGAAAAATATCCGCTGGGCTGCTGTCATCAACACCCTCATCTTAAGATGATAGAGTTGGGCCTGTTTGTTGGTGTTTAGTCCTGTTTCTCTCCTAGACAGCTATGGACTCAGCTTTTACTATGACCAACTCTATGTGCTCTCTTTAATCCCTTTTGATGTGAAAACTTGCTCATAGCTCACAAGCTTAACCACTTCTTTCCTAGATAGAGCTACCCGTTTTCTGACATAGAAAATATTTATAGATCAGTGCTTCTATGTTCTTTTTGCATGTCTGCTTTTGTCTCATTGAATCCCCAGGTAGGCTTAGATGAAGGCTGCTCACTCTGAGGCTGGCTATGCTGGAGGTTTCTTCTCTCTGCTGCCTTCATACTCAGTGTGAAGAATTTTTGCAAAGTGGATGCGAATGTCTTCTTTTGTGCTAAGCACATCTAGTAGGAGAGAATCCTGCAAAATCAATGTCTGAGGCAAGCAGCTGGTTTTCCTTAGAAAACTCTGAACCAATCCGACTGTATGATCTGGTTAAATTGTCTCTGTAAAGTGCATGCGATGACATATGTTGTTGGCCCTATATAAACGAACTGATGTGAAATAAACTGTCCTACTGCTACATACAACAGTAACCAGTAGTCTAGTCGTGAAAAAAAAAAGCAGCGCGATGGTGGATTTTTATTCA